GACTTGTGCAGACAGGGCCTGCAGACAAGGCCTGGGTTTATCTGCCTGCCCAGGCTGCTCGGACTCTGGCTGGCCCTGCTCCAGAGCCTGGTGCTCCACCAACACACACTGTGCTCCTGCCTGTGCCCTCTTGTAGCTCAAGTCCTTTTCTGCCCTGGAAGAACTTGACTTTAGAAATTGTTTGGAGAGTTTCAATTGGATCATCCCAAACTATTGTGCCTTGTTTAAGGCAAACAGCTGAAATAATTCAGCTGCGGGTGAAATCATCGCTGCTGCTCCATGTGCCAACTGTACAGCATATAAAGCGCTTTGATGATGAAAGGTATTGCCAGCATGAAAGAGGCATATTTCAAATCGCTACTTAAGAGAGTGGCATCCTCAGCGTGAGACCGTCAAGCAGGAGCCAAACATTACTTCTGCCCTTTAGTGGATGAGAAAATAGGTTTGCAGTCCTCAGGTTGCTGTATGTGAATGAAACAGTTTGCTCAGAACGATGCTACCAGCATGGTTGCTGTTGGCACTGCCAGCTCAGCGGCCAAATGTGCCCGCTTTGGCTTGGGTAGATGATGTATAGACTCAAACAGACTCTGTGTCCTTTACAAACCATGAGTAGTTTGGGGGACTCGCACTAGGGAGTGCCTGGCTCACTGATCCCAGCGCAAGCCCGGGGTGGACAGAACAAGAAGTTGTTTCTCCCTGATTGCTCTGGTCTCTGTGTGTTAGGAGTCGTCAGAGCTCACACCCTGCGAGGGCTTACACCCTAAAAACCATCTTCCAGTTTCTGGCTCTTAGATGCTCTTCTTAGCAGAGAGGCCAAGGACTCAACAGGCTCAGGCACTGACATTGCTCCCTCGCCTGAGATTTGGACCATCCAGCAAATGAGGTCATCATAAATTGCTTTAAAAGGAGTAAAGCGTGAAATTTTAATCAAAGTTCAGAGGTACCACATGGCCTTCGTGACACCATGAAGAGCATAATTTCAGAGAGGGATGCTCTTGTAATTCTGAAAATTAGACTGTCAGCTAGTGCAGTTTGTAAGCCCAGAATCACTAGTTGCTTTTGGAAGGATCATCTCACACTTACTTCCAAGTCTTACCCAAATTTGTTGAACCTTAGAGCATCTTGCCAAGTACTTTCCGAATCACTGTGGAATTTAGTGTCTTGTTTATTTTAGGAAAAGTGCAATTTATAAAGCTTTAGTATTTTACTAGATAAAAATATATTTACAGAAAGAAGGAACCATTTTCTACCTTCTTCAACACCAGTTGACATTTTGGCTTTATCGTAGATATTAAAAGAAAATAAAAATCTCAGCTTGCTCTTGTTTATTAAAAAGAAGATATATTACTGTTTAAATACTTCTCAAAGAATTTAAGAAAAGAAATAATAACTTAACCTTAAAAATAATGATAAATGGTAAAACCTGTGATTTATCTTTAACTGTGTGGATGCTCTAGAACCTACCTGGTTCTCTTCAATCCTGTAACTTTTGAGATGATTTAAGCTAGTACAAAGTGAGAAAACAATAGGAACTCAACATGAAAACATTTTACACCCATTTTGCACACAAGAGTCAAAGAATGCTGGAGACCTGGGTCCTGTTTGCCTAAACAGACTTCATTTTTTTTCTTTTCCAAAATCAACCAGGACTTGTCTGCCAAGTTATTAGGATGTGTAAGTGTCTGCTCGCAGCTGTCCCGGGCTCTCACACTTGGAGAAGTGAAGAGTTTGGAAATGGTCATAAAGGGGCTAAAACTTGCAGCTATGAAAAATTTGGCCAAAAAGGGGCAAAGAGTTTGGGATGTCCAGGAGCCAGGTACTTGTGGTCTTGCACTTTATAAACACTTGTGGAAAAGCTGAGAGGTCTGATATGAAATTGATATCGGTCAGCCTGGGCTGAGGTTTTCCAGGCGCGGCGGAGGAGCCCGGGGGCTGCGGCGTCCCTGGGTGCTGGCTCTCCCACGGCCAAAGGACACGCGGTGGCTCTGCTCTGGCTTTGCTTTTGTGAACTCCCTGCCAGCTCCATGCGTTCCGCTTGTGAGCAACCTCCTCTGGTCTTCACTAATTATATAGACTGTAGAGAAAAAGAAGATTTGCATTGATTCAGCCGAGTTCCCAAACTGTTGGGAACCGCACAGAAGCAGCAGAGTAGACTCTGCACTATTTTCAACCAGGTAATTCTCCAGAGTTAGTCTCCCTGTAATATTGCTTAAAAACACTGCTGACCTAATTATGACACAGTTAACATTCATCTAGTAATTAATAAGTATTACAGTGTCTGCTCTGGGCTTGACAGGATTCCTACTGTGGGCTCATTTGATGCTGAATCCTACTGTACTGTGTGCTGTGCTTTGCAAGTCATCAGTCTTACGTGACGCTTAAAACTCTCTGACAACCTGACAGTCTCAGCCTGGGCAGAGGAAATTACAGGATGTCCAAGGCACATGGGAAACTAACAAAAAGATGTGGTCAGTTAAAATCCTCATAATGGGCTATTAAATTGTTTTACTGTTCAGCTTCTCTGTAAAATATCAATTATCTCAAATGGTTGTAATGTAATCAAAGTAATTAAATTCCAAAGGCTTGCATGTAAAAACCAGAGCTTTGTAAATGGGAATCCAGCCTCAAGTAGTTTAGTTGGTCTGTTTGTGTTTAAAAGTTTCTCCAGATGACTTTTTTTTAATGGTGTCATAGTTAGAGAACTGTTAAAGGTTTTTGTGTGTTTGAGGTTTAGGGTGTGTTTGAAGCTTGGCTGCACACAACGTTTGAACAATTGAATAAGCAAAACCTGTGTTACAGCCGAGACGCAGGGACACAGCACATGCCAGATGAAAAGCCGGCTGCTCCATAGCCGTGGGAAGCTGGGACAGCCTCAGCCTCTGAATCCTGGTCCCAGCTCCAGCTACTTCAGTTTCCTCAGCTGATGGATAATTGTAGCTTAACTTTCCCTAAGTTATAAAAAATGACAAGCTAGTGTCTCTAAAGCACTTCGGGTGTACAACTTGAAAAATATTCCTAGCTTAGGTTTATCAAACTCAGGATCCTGCCTCCGGTAATATGTTTTACAAGAATAGGAAGAAGCTAAAGAATGACATATTCCAAGAACATTTTTCCCATCGTTCCTCCTGTTGTAGGGAGTACTGCTTCTTGATTAAGTGTTATTTCACTTTATTTCAGTACAGCTACTCCCTTAGATTTCAGCAGAACTGAAGCCAATCCTATTTTGTTTCAGCCAAAATTACTTTTGTTGCCACGATTTTCTGAAATTAATGGTAATTTTGGGGTGCACTATTTTGAACCATCTTGAAAGGTTCCAATTTAGAGATGGTGTTAAGCATCCACACCTTGAAAATTTACTTTGGGAGGATTGAGTGGAAGGATTTGCAGAAATTTTGGGCCGTAGTCGAGGAAATCACCTGTAATTTGTAGCAGGCCATGTTGTTCTGAAAGCTGCATGCCCAATGTGTGAGCAGCTATCTCCATCCTTAGTGTAATCAACTTCCAGAGGCATGTACTCACCTCATGGAGTATTTGTTACTCATTTTTAAAAGCAATGAGATGGGTCTTTTATACCACTACTGGATCTTCTAGGTGAGTAGAAACCTGTGTTAAATCCAATGGACTGTTCCTTCACTGGTTGATAAGGTAGGGCCAAAAAAAAAAGGTTTTTGCAAACTTAGATTATTATTATTTGCATGACAACACCAGTGTATGGGAGGCTGTTTAAGACGAGAACTAGACATGCACAGCCCCAAGGAACACACAACCAGAAGAGGTGGAGAGAAGGTGTGAACCATGAAGGTTCAGAGGAGACAGTGACTTGGTCTGTGTTAGAGCCCGAGCAGTCACTGGAGAAGTGAGTGTTTGGGGAAGAATTTAAATACATTAACCTGTGTGGAGATACATGTTGCTGTTTCTGTCAAGCCATTAAGAAAATTACAGACTCATGGCTCCAACTGAGAAATAGTTTCCATAGAGAATGAGCTCACGGAGGCAGGGAGATGCAAGGAAAGTGTTAATGCCAGAGCCGAGTGTTTGGGAGCTGGGGAAACAAAAGGAAAATCCAGGAATGCTCATAATGCGCAACAACCTTGGGGGATTTTTTGTGTCTTCAAACAAAATCAGTGAAGGGAGTTTAGTCTTGAGGGCCTCCTTGAAGCTTGCTGAAATCAGCATATAAGCTGCTTCTGCCTAGATAAGCCCTGTACCATGTCCTGAGGATAGCTGTGAAAAATGTGCTGCTTCCATAGCTCCTTTTTAAATGTAAAAGGAGCTAATTGGTGTGACCTGATACTTGATCAAGCTACTTAGAAGTTCTCACAATTAGCTGGAAGGAGTAAAAAGTTCTCCATCTTCTGTCACCTCATTAGCAGCTTCTGCCAGTTCTGCCATCTGCCCAAGGTCCTGATCGAGGTGCTCCCCGTGCTGTGAGCAACTCCCTCCCTTTGTGCAATGGGCAAACAGAAAGCTGAGCCATGCTCCAGGCTACCAGGGTGCTGGTGTTTTCCCAGTTCTCAGGAGGAAGCAGCTTATCCTCCTTTTCTGCTGTCCTTGAGCAGGGCTCCCTGTTCCTGGTCAATGTGACACTCTGCTCCGGGTGCACCAACTCAGGAGCTGGAAGTGGAAGCTAGAGGCTCCTAGGAAAAGCCTCTTGCCCAACTTTGCTACATTTCCATCAATTTTCCCTCAGGTAGAGACTGAATTGGTACAGAAACCAATTAGCAATGGTTCATTAGGAGGAAGTGAGTTGTTGAAATGCTTTTTCAAATTAAGTGCTCCAAACGCAGAGGAACCACCGTGCACAACCCTGTGTCAATGCCGTTAAAAACAGAGCACGCCTTGCCTTCTCTCACAGAGCAGGCCTTGTCTCCTGCACAGTGCGGTGGGAGAGGTTTGGAGCGCTGCTCTTCTGCAAACACAGCCCAGACCCACAGAGGTCTTCATGTAGCACTTCTTGCAGTGACCCTCTAACGCACGTTTCCTTCTCTCTCCCGCTGCAGGTGCGTTACTGTTGGGAGGAATCCTCTATTCCTGGCAGTTCCCTCACTTCAATGCCCTGAGCTGGGGTCTGCGGGAAGATTACTCCCGAGGAGGATACTGTATGATGTCCGTCACCCACCCAGGGCTGTGCAGGCGGGTGGCTCTGCGTCACTGCTTGGCCTTAATCGGACTCTCAACGGTGGCTCCTGTTCTCGACATCACCACGTGGACTTTCCCCATCATTTCGCTCCCTATTAACCTCTACATCTCCTACCTCGGCTTTCGGTTCTACAGGGATGCAGACCGCAGCAGCTCCAGGAAGCTCTTCTTCTGCAGTCTGTGGCATTTGCCAATGCTGCTGCTTGTCATGTTCACGTGCAAGAAATCGTTCCTAGAGAAGGAGGAGAAAGGCGATCTGCTCAGTGGAAATCACGGGAGGGCTATGGAAATTAGATTGCCTTAAATGTCAATTACTTGTCGTCCTCGTGACACATCACATAGTATATTTTAGTAATTGCAAGGGAGAAACCTGTGGGAATCTGTTTGAAGAAGAATCATTTGTGCCTAGCGACCACTTCATGCGATAATTTTCTCTTTTCTTCTGAAAGGGAATAGATGTGAGCGCTTAAAGCATTCATTGGCCTCAGGCTCACTTACTCATCACAGATTAAAATTTAGCCTGTGGCAGAAGCACCTCGCTTTGGGATGGCCTTCCAAAGTCTCCATGAGTTGTGGTCTCTCATCTCATGGAAAGGTTTTCAATTAGCAAGTCACATGCGCACACTTACGAACCGCCAGCACTGGCAGCCTTGGCAAAGCCGTCAGGAAGTGACCGATGAATGATTTGTCACCCCTGCTCCCCAAGCATCCTTTCCAAATTAAGCTTTGAGGCACACAGTGGGTTGGGTGAACTCTTGTCTTGATTGGTGCTGTCCCTGCTCTGTTGTTACGCAGAAGCCTTCAGATTCTGGGGCTTTTTTCAGTTACTTTTGCCAAGGTTCCCATTCACCTCAGCAGATTTTTAGCTTTCATCTGGCTGGCACAACGCTAATGGAATAAAGAGAACTGCCTTTCAGGACACTACACATCAGCATTTAAACGTAAAACAACCTCCAGCTCTTCTGTAGCATACAGCTTGAGCGCACTCTGAGCCATTCTACTGTACATCCATCACGGGGAATTTCTGATTCCCGTGTGGTTTTACATCATTAGAGTTTGAGCCCTCTGTCAGATCTTCAGCTGGTAAAAATTGCCATTACTGTTTATGTCAGTGAAGCTTGGAAAAGGTGTAGGAGGTGGGAAGCAGATCTGAGAGTCTGGTAGTTTTAAGGCTTTTCTATGCTCATGTGTCTTGTGCCAGCCCATTCAGCCTCAGTGTCCTCGGACGAGCTCTGGACTTGCATCAAGAGTTTGAACTGTGTTTAATATCACACTGTGGTGGCTGAGAGAGAAGGCCTCACTTTTGGGGTATGTAATCTGTAAGGAAACACGTTTTACAGAAAAAAAGTTGGGGATTTTTATCTAATATTATAATGTTCAAATTCCTGATGCAGCCAGTGTCTCTCAAAAGCAATTATTGTGGATGGTCTCATCAGGAAAATGCATTATCTTAACTGATACGCTGAAGAACATTTCAAGCCACAGTCTAATGTGTTGTGATCCCAGTTTGGGGCTGTGACTAACCCTCAGCCTCCCTGGGGCTGGCTGTGACCCACTGGGATGCTTCCAAAACCCAGCAGCATCCAGGGCAGACAAAGCCTGTGTTACAGTTTATTGTGGTAGTTAGTGCCTGTTACGACTTGATGCGTTTTCACGCCAAGATTTCTTTCCCATGTGGAGAGGGACTGGGCAGCGTTGCTGTGCATCAGTCCAGAGATCCAGTAACACCTGAAATGGGAGATGCTGTTTCTAATCTCATCCCAAATAAAGCCCTTCAGGGAAGGTCACAAATCTGCCACCACGTGCGTATCACGCTGACATAAAATCTTCACTGGCTGCTTTCATGATACAGACCCATGGTCTCAGTTACACTGGTGTAAATCAGGAGTGACACGGTTAACCTCTGTTCTGCTGGCGGAGGTGCTCGCAGGAGCAGAGCCACCTTTTACATGGCTCTGAAATAATCGGTTGCAAGATTTTCTGGCTCTCTCAAGTGATTGCAGATGACAGGATTGAGTCCCCTCTTACTGTTTCTCTGACAGACTCGGTTGTGTTTGAGTTACTGTGAGCAACACTTCTTAGAAACGCCTGGAAACTGTGCAACTCCTGAGTTTATTTTAAAAATGCATCCAGTCTTCTCTGCAATAAAGTGCATACTGTACAAAAAAAAAGAGATGAATGCTCAAAATCTGTTTTAAACTATTAACTTATGATTGAAACTCGGGTACGGTTCAGTTAATAGCAAAGGTATTTGATAGTTTTGTGGCATTTCTCACAGCAACACTATTCTTCTTGATCCCTGCAAGAGCAAGGACAGCTTGTGAAATGCTGGTTTATTGTGCAAGAAGCACACTGAAACTGAGTTGCGTGTGAGTGGAAAGGGTTTGTGCAAAACCAAAGAATTTGGCCAACCTTTAGCTGGGAGAGGAACCTGAAAAGAGCAGATGGCTCACAAAAACCACAGGTTTTGCTCCCAGAGGCAGAAAGTGGCGCTGAAGCAGGAGGGTTGTGGTTTTCTCCAAAGTCATTATAGAGTCAGGCCTCAGAATGACCTGCGAGTACGGGGTGCTGTCCTAACTAACTCAATTTTGATTGAAGGTCCCAAGGAGATGCCTGTGGTTCAGTTCTGAAGGGCAGTCATCTTCATTTCTTGGGCCAAAATGGGTAACATTCACAGGTTTTAGGGCCAGACAGGAGCCTTATAATCATCACTGAATGTCTGCAAAATGCAGGTCACAGAGTTGCACCAACACATCCACACCCAGTTAGTCTGGCCTGGAGAGAGAACATGATTTTAGAATAAGTGGATCTGGGGTTTAAAGGTGAGAAATATTAAAGAAAAAAATAGAATTTTTTCACCTAGAAGGTGCTCTCTGCTGTGCTCCAGAGTGGCTGTGGATCAGGTATGGATGAAGTCATCTACTGTCACTTTCCTTTCTTCAGGAATTTTTGCTGTTGCTTGTACTTTGAAAATACAAAACACTGCCAAACTGAAATCTTAGTTCCAGACAGATGGTACAGGAGGTGCTCTCGGATGTCCTTTTCAATATTTCTGGTGCCGCTATGGGAATTTCAAAAATACTGAACTGCCTGTCCTCATCCAAAGGTGTTTGTGGTCCCTGTGACACCATTCCCTGTGGGGGTTACTGTCAGCCGTCCCTGCTCCAGCACTGCTGGTACTGCTGCCTAAATTCTGCAGGAAGAAGGCGGGTGAGGTGCGTGAGTGTCCGGCTGTGGTCACTTTGCAGAGCCAGGGCGTTGCTGGGGGTTAAACCTGGGCTTCCTGCATCTCAGCCCTGGGCTGTGCAAGCATCAGGCTTGATCTGAAACAGCAGTTCCTACATAGAATTGCAGTGGGGTTGTTTTTTTCCTTCTCCCATTTGGAGAACTTGAATGCAGGTTGTTTGTCGTCCCGTTATCTGTGTTACTCGATCTCCCCATGAATTGGCCCTCCTTGAGAATACTTGCTATTTATGTGGTAATGAAAAAAAAAAATAGCAGCAATGTGCCATGTCCCTCCAACCCCTGGGTCTGCTGGTAGCTGAGAGGGTCCCATCTAGGTGTTGCTGATACAGTGGGCAACTCTGTACCACCAGAAGCCTGTACTGCAGCTCACAGAGGAGTTGGGACCCATAACTCAAGAAGATGAGGCTGGTTTTAGTCTGTTTGGACTTTAAACCTTTTGTGTGGTTTTGTGGATAACACAGTAGCCCGAAGGCTCGGGGGATCTTCATTCTTTCCAGATCTCTAAGAAATGCAGTCCCTCTGTAAAACAGGGATGATGATATTTGCCTTGTTGGATGAGTAAACAGCTCGTGTTTGTGTCAGTCCCCTGCCCGTTATTCTGCATGGCCCCGAAAAGAGAGCGCTGGCTGATGGTTCGATTCCACCCCACATCTCCTGATGTGAGCAACCTGGTCTAGAGCAACCTGGTCTAGTGGAAGGTGTCCCTGCTGCTGGCAGGGGGGTTGGAACTGGATGAGCTTTAAGGTCCCTTCCAACCCAAACCATTCTATGATTCTATGATCTCTTCTTTGCTCCGACCTTCAGCAGATCATCTCAGCACAAGGTTTGCCTGGCAGGACAGCCTAGGGAGCTGAGCTATGTGACAGTGAATTGCCCTGAGCTCTTGCAGAGCCCTTGGGTTCTGTGTGACCCCGCTGGCCGTGCCTCGGCGTGACAGGCATCCCAGCAAGGCGGGCAGTTGGTGGGGCTCTGCGCTTTGTTCAGCATGAAGGAGGAAACCCAATCCCTGCACACACAGCCCTTTCCCTGCTCCTTTCCCCCACTGAGGGTTTTTTTTTTCTCACTTCCTGTATCAATCTCCGATGTAATCTGCCCCAGCAGAGTAACACATTCACACTCTTCTGGCTCCAGCAGCGTTTCCCACTCAGCCAGGCCACGGCATTTCCAGGCTTACACAAAATACACACGTCCTTTTCAGTTCCAACGATCCCATGGGA